TCCCTCTCATGCTCTCTGTCTCTCATTCTCTCTCTCTCAAATAAATAAATAAAAATCTTAAAAAAAAAAAAAAGAGTAATGCGTCCCTGTCACATTGCCCGAGTAGGACCACTGCATTGTGGTTAGGCGGGACAAGACTCCGCGCTGTGCTTCTAAGAAAGCGCACGCTCAAGTATTTAGAGTGAAGTGTCATGGCCTCTGCGAGGAACGCTTCAGTGTTTCCGGAAGAACGCAGAGAGAGAAAGGAGAAGGCAAATGGCAGCGTTAACCACCGCGCAGTTCCTCTGCTAGGGCAGCCCCACACCCCTCTCCCTTTCCGGGGCTGAAGGACTTACCCCCTCGCTGCTGCTGGGAGGATTGAGTCTCTGCTCAGTCCTCCCTGGGACTTGTGACTGAAGAGAGTGAGCTGCCTCACCAAGGTCAGACCCCTCGGGGGTGGCCCACAACCAACAGCTGGCCTCCTCCTCTCAATTCAGGAGGACCTGCCCCAGGTTGGGCCCCTGCTGTGACCTTGGCACTCAGCCCCCTGTGTCCAGCCCTGCTCCCCTGGTCATCTGCGGGTTCCATCTCGAAAACCCAGCGTGGGCCTAGACGAAGGGTGTACATGTAGGGTATGAACCAGTCCACTTCTCTGTGAGTTTGAAACTTTCTCAAAATAAAAACTTAAGGGGAAAAATAAGTTAAAGACAAACGGGATAATACGTATCAGAAAAGGTTAGGATCTTTCATATATGATGCATTCTTACAAATCAGTAAGAAAAAGACAAACAGCCCAATTTTTAACACACGCAAAGGAAATAAACAGGAGCGTTAGAAAGAAGCATTCTGAGACCATCAAACCGGTGGAAACATGTTTAACCTCACTAGGAGTCAAATACATGTCCTTCTAAAACAAGAAATATCACTTTTCCCTTAACAAATTTGAGAGGATTTAAGGAAATGAACCCAAGGCTGGCGTGGGTTTGGGGACGAGCTCTGTGCCCAGCCTCCTGGGAAAGGTCTGGTGGCCGTTATCAAAGCCACTGAAAGCTTTGTGTCCCTGTGTGTGCGCCCAAGTTCTCCAGACTTCGGCAGTCCTTTTCCTTTAGCATCCAAACAGAAAGGCTGAATTTGCCGTGCCCCAGGCAGTGGGGGGTGTCCTGGAGGAGCGTCACAGAGCAGAACAGGATCAAGGCAGCCCTGGGACGCCACCATCCCAGCAGCGTCCTTCTCCAGCTGGCTGGAGTGCTCACCTCACCTGCCTCTCCCAGAGCTCACAAGTTGCCGACAGACAACTCCTCCCAAATGTCCATTACTTTTTAATACAAAAAGATGAAGCTCTTTGTCTTCCTGCTCTTCTCCCCATCTCCTGAGACCTTCCTTTACTCAACAAAGGACACAGAGACTCACCAAAGTGTTTTTTGACACATGAGCTGAGCACTTTGCTCCCAAACGGCCTCCTGGTGTATCTGGCTCAAACAGCTAGCTAGCCTTGAAAAGACCACCCAATCATCTCCTGCCATACACCCCACCTTTCCATCATATATCCATACCTTAAGGACTGGACAAGGAAGTTATTGTATATCGGTACATGGCATCCTAAGTAAAGATTTAAAATGATGGTTTGGGAGGTAATTTAACATGGAAAAATGTTTACAGGGTGACAAATGAAAAAGCAAGTTACAAAACAGTACATCCAGTAAGATTTTGTATTGTTTAAAGATATATATACATACATATATATATATATATGTATAGAACAAAATGTCAAGAGAGAAGGAACAACAAAATGTTCATGGTTGTTATATCTGATATAGAATGAATGGTGAATTTTATGTCATTTTTGCACTATCCATATTTTCTGTATTTATTCTGCAATGAGGATGAATTAGATCTATACAACAGTTCTAGAAGATTCCCTGCTTGCCTCCTCTGCTTCAGAATCATGCTTCTGGTGAAGGATGCCTCACTCACTACCCCACCTTGTCATTTCCATCCTGAGGCCCACCTTGACTCTGGCCTCAACTTCCTAGAAGAGTATTGTTCATCACACCCCAGTCCCCGTCCTGAAATACTCTTTCCTTTGTTCATTCTGTGAGTCCACTCACTTCTCCTTTGGAATAAATGTAAACTCTTGGGCATGGCACACAAGGCCCCCCAAGGGCAGGCCCCACATGGTGTCTGCAGCCTCCTGACCTAGCCACCCCTGGGCACGCCCTCCTCCCCAGCCCCAAGGACACTGTGCTCTCTGGAGGCATGTTGGCTTTGCACTGCTAGCTAGGACACACTTTATGTCTTCTCTCCCTCCTCCTCCTCCTCCTCCTCAAGCACCCCTTGAACAGTTTCTAGTTCCGGCCTTATGTAAGTGCTTTACAGCTGTACCAACAAGAAGCCATTGCAGAAAACCCCCACTTAGAGTGGTCTAAGCACTCGTGTAAGGAGAAGTCTTGACACATCTCAAGAAAGAGTCTAGGGGCACCTGGGTGGCTCAGTCGTTAAGAGTTCCTTCGGCTCAGGTCATGATCCCAGGGTCCTGGGATCGAGCCCCGCATCGAGCTCCCTGCTCCACGGAAAGCCTGCTTCTCCCTCTCCCACCCCCCCTGCCTGTGTTCCCTCTCTCACTGTGTCTCTCTCTGTCAAATGAATAAATAAAATCTTAAAAAAAAAAGAGTCTAGGGCTTGTATGATAGTTCATGGGCCATCAGGTCCCCATCTTCAATGGATAAGTCCCAAATTCATGCCTGTGCTTCACAGCCACAAAATGGTTGCTGCCTCTCCAGCATCACATCTCCTTTCCAGGCAGAAGACAAGGAAGAAACAAAGAGTTTTCTCCTAGTAAGGTAAATCATCCTCAGGAACTTCTATATATGTGGCCAGAATTGTCACATGCGCCCTCCTAACTGCAAAGGGGGCTGGGGGTATGAGAGTTTCACCTTTCCAGCCTCTGTAGCAGTAAAAGTTGAAGAGGAAGGGTGCTGTGAATGGCTTCGGGGTCACTAATCTACAGTGCTTACCATACATTTCCTCTCATCCCAGTCATATTTAGTCTCAAGCAGTGCTGTGAATTAAAGGTTTCCATTATGTGTGTTTCACCAATAAGAAAACCCAAAGCTCAGAGACAACATTCACATTTTTCATGACCCAGGTCTGGAACCACCTCCTCCGGGAAGAGTTCCTTGTACGGCCCAACCCCAGGCGGAGTTAGTTGTTTGTCTTTCCCTGTGCATCTTGGGCCTGCATCCATGTTGACATCTCCAACTGTTCCTGAGTGATGTATGAGTCCCCCAAGGGTCTTCTGCATCCTCAAAGCCTGGCAGGGTCGCAGGCCCAGAGCTGTGGCTGGGAGCGTTTGCTGAGTAACCAGGGAGGTGGTGGTCCGGCTCCACTTGGGATGCCTAGACCCCTACAATGCTAAAGCGTCACTTTAGAGGACAGAGAAAAATCAGCAGATCCCCAGAAGACCCACCCCACCAGAAACAAGGGAGTGTTAGTGCATGATGCGGCCAGAGCTCGGATCAGACTCCCCATGGGCTGCAGACTGCACTGCCCCTGGGGCCCAGGGACTTTCCTGGGGTACGGGGAAACTGATGCCTGCAGCATTCCTCCAGGGCAGTGTGAAGGGAAATTAGAAGATCCTCTGCAATGTGGTTTGCATTATTGCAGCTTCAGCCATGGAAGGGGCTCCCTGAGTCAGGCAGGAAGCAGAAAATATCAGATTTAGATCCCACATTCCGTGCATTGTATACAATTATCCACTGGAGCCACATAGGGGCAAGCAGGACCCACAGACACAGAAAGTGGGATTGCTCTCAGGGACCGGGTTGCTCTGTTCTGGGGAGCCAGTCGTGTTCTTGGCAGGCACCAGGAGCCCCAAGTGCCCCAGCGCTGTGCACTCAGGAACCCTGCGGCCAGGGGTGAGTTTCACTTGCCTGCAAGCCATGGGTGACAGGCAAGCTACCAGTTGCAGCAACAAGGGGGAGTCCCCTCAACCCCCCACCTGTGCTCAGGGTGTAAGTGCTTCCCTAGATCCTCCTGGACTGTCTCCTTGACCAAACTTTAGGCTCCTCTGATCCCTCTTCTCCAATCAGCCTTGACCTTGACCCCACTCGCCCCCTGCAACCTGCATGGATGGCCCAGTCTAAGCAAGAATCCTGTTGAGTCAGCTAAGAGACAATTGCCTCCCACCATCCCACCACCCCACCCCACCCCAGAGGGAATCTGATCACCCTCCACATCTGCACCTTTGATGTCTAAGCTCTGGCCTGCCTTCAGCAAGAATCCTGCTAGGTCGGTTGAGCAGGAACCTCCTCCCCTTGCTGTCTCCTCCAGACCCTTGGGCATCGATCCCCACGTGCCCTTGCTCTACGGAGCTGAGCCTGATGCCCCTGCTGTGATAGTCCAGAGCCCACTGCAGTAGTCTCAGGAAGTCTTCCGAGGGGTTTTAACAAGAGTCAGAACAATTATCTCTTTAGCAGGGGAGAGGAAAGAAGCTTTGAGAAGCTTTTGTTGAGAAGGCCCTGTTGCTCTTTTACTGGAAGGCCTCTGGAGTCGTCAGGGGCGGCTTCTTGGGACAACGCCCCACCCGCGGGTCTAATTGATCTTGTTTGCTGGGCTATAGGTTACCTCATCTGACCCTCCTCTAAGCACCCCCGGGGCCATGACCACTGGCTGCCTTGTTTCCCAACACTCTCCCCAAGGCAGCGGAGCCCAGTAATTTGCCGTGTGAACCGGGACACTCTGGGCACTCTCCTAAGAGTGCTGTCGGCACCAGGACAAGCGGCGCAGCCCAGGCCTTGCGGTTACCAACAAGCTTCCTGCGCTTATCCTCGCGTGCCTCCTGGCCGCCGCGTTGGCTCAGGACCCTGGTCCGGGCACTAGGGGTGCGGGTGGGGAGACAGGGGGCGTGACCTAGCTGGACACGGGCCTCCGACAGCGCCGAGCCGGCGCAGGGCGGTCGGGGCGTGGTCACTGCTCAAAGTTGCAGAAAGGCCGGAAATTTACAGCGGCCGCTGGCCGAGCTCGGTGGCCACCAGGGGGCGGGCGGAGGCCGGAGCCGGGGCGGGCCGAGCGCGCGGGGCGGGGACGCGGCGACGCTGGCGCCCGCGGGTCCCGTGACCGTGCGCCCCGCCCGGAGCCGCCGCGGTCATGCAGTCCCCGGCGGTGTTCGTCACCTCCAGGTGAGCCAGACCCCCCGTGCCTGGCGCCGCGTCTCGGGTGCGCGCGAACGAGCCGATGCGCCCCCGTCCGAGGACCAGGCGGAGGCGGCTGGCCCCGTGGGCCCGCGGCGCGGCCTCGCCAGCGCCCCGGCGGGTTGCCTGGGGTCGGCCCCTCCACCGCCCTGCAGGAGAGGTGGGCGCATTGAGTGTCCCCGTTTTACAGATGGGGAAAACTGAGGCCCTTAAAAGGGTAACGAACTCGCCCCGGACCCAGTGGAAGGCCGGGATTGGCTGGCCCCGCAGGCGGGCGGAGAGGGGGTCTCCTGTCCCCTTTGCAGACGTGCGTTCATTTCTTTTGAGCCCGAAAATACAGTTTATGGCTCCTTTCAGTGCTCACTGTATGCCAGGCCCAGTGCGCGGCCCTGGGGATGGGGGTGAATCAAAAAAGGCCCGGCCTTGCAGGGGACACGGAATGAACACAAACCTGCGGGGGGGCCAGAAGCTAAGGGGGGGCGGGCAGTAGGTTCAGGTTCCTTGGGAACACAGTGCAAGTGCGGAACCCGACTTCGAGGAGTGGGCGAATGAGGCCACGTCCCTCAGGAAGAGTGGGAGTTAACCAGGCGAAGGCAAGAGAAGAGGTGGCAGCTCCTCAAGGAGGCAGCTCAGGAGAAGTGCAAGTTAGAGGCCTCGGAGGCAGAAGGTGCCGGGTGGGCTCACCCTGACCCAGACCTGGGGGACCTGGTGCAAGATGGATCCTGGGAAGCATGGGATGCACATGCTTTGAGTCTTTCGTAGAGTGACTCACTTAAGGTATTTTCATAGACCCCACTCTCGTTCCCCCTACACAGGATCTTGGTCTAAGATGCCAGTTTATTGCTTAAATGAATGTATGTCTTTCCCAGCCCAACTGTTCTTTTTCCAGCTGTAATCTGAGCGCCCCTGTAACTCCAGGTCTAGAAAAATGTGATTCTGTAAGTAAACCCTGATCCCAGAACCTGCTTGGTGCCCCCTGCATGGCCCAGGGAGGTCACAGGCTGTGTCTTCATAGGCGCAAGAGGTGTACCTGGTGCTCCCTAAGTCACCTCTCCCTGAGCCTGTTTCATTCTCTGCAAAAAGGAGGTTTGAGATTGGAAGGTGTGAGTAGTGCCGGCAGAAGACACCTGTCTCAGCCACACGCAGTGGGGTGTGACTTTGGTGCGGGGAGCTTGGGAAGGGGGTGGGTGGCTTCCCTCCCTGCCCCGATCCTGCAGGGCCTGCCCACGGGCATGGGTGCTGGTGATGAAGGCCCAGGGGGCGGTGCTCACTCCTTCCTACTTGCACCTGCCCACAGGGTGGGTTCAGACGCTCGAGACCAGTCACAGGGCAGGCGCTTCACAGTCAGGCCCCAGCGCAGCTTCCCAGCGTAGCCCCCGCCGCTCATCACCGCGTGCACTCACACCTGCGTTCGTCCAGCAGCTACTGACCTGCTCTGTGCCAAGGACCGGTTCAGATTCTAGGGCACAGCAGTGGACAGAATGAAGCCCATCTCATGGAGCTTTAGTGGGGACAGCTAGACAGGAGGTAGACAGATGATGTGTCAGGGATGATAAATGGTATGAAGGAAAATTCAACAGCAGGGAAAAAGAGATAGGAGTGAGTGCTGTTTTGTCCAGGAGTGTCGTTCTGATAGAGGGGCAGTTGGGCAGATCCTGACTCCCTGAGGGAGAGAGCCATGAGGGTATCTTGAACAAGACCGTACGAGCAGAGAGGACAGCAGAGCCAGTGTCCTAGGGCAGGGGTGAGGGGGGGCGGGGAGGGATGGTGCTTGGGCACCAGCAAGGAGGCCAGCATGGCTGGAGTGGAGTGGGCCTGGGGGAGTGTTGGGTGAGGCAGTGAAGAACTGTGGGTTTGGGAGCAGGGGGACAGTGCGGGGGGGTGGAGGGAGAGAGAGAAGGGGGGAAGGAAGACTTGCAGAAGCGTGCCTTGAGTAGGAGATGGCCTCAGGTAGGAGCCAACCAGTGTGTCCCCGGCGGTGGGGGAGGCTCAGGGATTTCTCCCATTGCTGCCCTTCTTGGTGAAATAAGCAGGGCTGTCGGGAGAACAGGCATTGGGGGTTTATCAGGGGTTTGTTGAGAGAGGCGGCTTAGACTCCATGTCTTGTTGCTCAGCGGATGGTCCCAGGAGCAGCAGAATAGCATCAGCATCACGGGGGAGCTGGCTGGAAATGCAGACTCTCAGGCCCCGGCCCCGACCTGCTGAATCCAGATCTGCCTATTGACAGCTTCCTCAGGTGACTCGGATGCCTGTGAGGTTCGAGAAGCTTGGTCTAAGGCGTAGTTGACCACCCTACGCCCTTGAGCCATGTCATGCCCATAAATAAAGTTTCTGTATCGGCTGTGGCTGCTGCATCTGTTACCTGGAAGAGTTGTCAACTCCTAGTGTGTCCACCGCCGCCCTCCGCCCGCCCCCCCCCCCCCCCCCCCCCGCCGGGCCCGGGGCTTCTGATTCAGTGGCCTGAATTTCCCAGGTGACACCGTTGCAGCGGGGACCACACTTGGAGAAGCCCAGGTCTAGAGCAAGGGAGGGGTGCCAGGCCCAGGCTGCAGCTTGCTGCTTGTGGCCATGAATTCTCTGTGGGACCGGGTGGCATGTCCGAGTGTTTGTCCCCGTCCCGGGCAGCTGCTGGGCCCCGGTACAAAGGAGGCAGAGAACTGGAGAGTTCGGGACGGGGCGGGGGAGCTGGGGCCCGAAGCCGTGGTTCCAGCCGTGGCACCCCAGGGCCTCCCAGCTGAGGAGGCATGACAGGAACAGGAGGGACAGCAGAAGGCAGCGGGCTTGTGGACTGCGGGGCCCGGTGTGGTCAGATGCGGGGTACTGAGAGGGAGAGCGTGAGCCCGGCCGTAGGCCCCCCTCCTCTGCACTTCCGCCCGCCTGTGCTTCGTTGCGGTAATGATCCTGAGTCCTCCCTCCACCCTGCAAGAGGTAGCCCTGGCTCTGGCGTAGCTCTGACCTGCGGAGACCCGGGCAGGTGACTCCCTTGTGTCTCTTTCCCGCTCTTTAAGTGGGTCCCAGCGGTGGTGTCCCCTGTAGGGCTGCCGGAGCAGGAGTGGCTCAGCTGAGGTCCCGAGAGCCTGCAGCAGCGCTGGCCGCCGCGAGGCTCACCTCGAGTGGGCTCTGCGCTCCTGCGCTCGTCACGGGAACATGCGTGCACACCGCGCACTAAGCCAGGAGCAGCCCGGCTCGCTCGGCGCGAGGCCAAGCACGCTCATTCAGTTATTGGGCAAAGGAAAGGAGGGCTGATACCTTAGGTGTGGTGTTCCATCTCACAAAGGTACATCTGGTGTCGCCTGGGCCTCCCTGCATCATCAGCCTGTGGCGGTGTGCTCTGGGTCCCGGGAAAATGCTCGTGTAGGTGCACACTTCACATGCGGGCGTATGGCATTGTCCCTGGTGGGTGACAGACGGCATCCCCATGGTGACTGTGTTGCATGCCTGGTGTGGAGGTGGGAGAAATCCGCGCGGAAGGAGTCCTGGGGGACAGAGTGTCTTTGAGGGATTGGGACCTTAGTCCAGAGAGGGAAAGGGCCTTGCCCTGGTACATTTTTAGCCCAGAAGTGCCCTCCTCCTAGGAGCACCCCTTTACTTGTGTTCTGGAAGTCCTGCCCAGCCCATAGAAGGTTTGACCTTGATGATGAGGGGTCCTGTCCACGTGTATTTGTACACGTGGGTCTGCATTACCCCCTTATAAAGGATGGGGATGCAGTTACCGTATTTTTTTATCACTTCAGGGAGAACGTTTCATGACTTGTTTGCCCCCCATACAACTCAGTACGTTGGTGTAGCATTGACAGATTCTGCGAGAGCTGTGCTGTTTTGCTGAGCACCCTCTCCAAGCCTCATGCAGCAGCCTTCTCAGTGCCTTGCGGGGCCCCGAGGCTAAGGAGGACCCTGCATCCAGGGCCCTGGGCAGGTTCGGTTGTAGCCCCGCTGCCCTCCGGTTCGCTGAAGAGATGCGTGTCTACCCAGGCTCCCAGCGGTGTCTCGTTCTTGCACTACGTGCAGGGAGCCAGGCACGTTCCTTGTCGGGAATAGAGCCCCCAGATGCCATCCCTCCGAATCCTGCAGGGGCTCATGCACCGAGGGTATGGAACACTCCTCCCTGTGGGTGACTTTCCACAAGCCCGTCTCTTCTGCTCCCACTTGTTTTGCTGCTGGGGACGGCCCGGGGTCTGGGAGCAGCCCATAGGCAGGACCCACGCGTGAGGCTTGGGAAGCCAGGCCTCAGGAGAGGCTGGTGTGTGGCGGGGCAGGTGGCCCGAAGCAGTGACCACGAGGACAGCCTGCAGAGTGCCCCCCACCCAGGCCTGCAGGATCCTCCTGAGGTCCTATCTGCGTGTCACTCGAGAGGCCTGCTGACTTAAACCTGAGCTTCCTTTGCCTTCTCTCCCTTTGGCAGGCGAGTGCAGAATGTCCACACGGGCCTCGACTTGACCGTGCCCCAGCACCAGGAGGTGCGGGGCAAGATGATGTCAGGCCACGTGGAGTACCAGATCCTGGTGGTTACCCGGCTGGCTGCGTTCAAGTCAGCTAAGCACAGGCCCGAGGATGTCGTCCAGTTCTTGGTGAGCTGGGGGCTCTGCCAGGATGTTCCTGGGGGGGCCCAGGGGGCAGGGGGCCAGGCGCACAGACGCACCTGCCACCACGGTGTGAGCAGCATCAGGGAGCGGGCGCTTCTCTAGCCAGCACTGGGGCACAGGGGCCCCCCGGCAGAGGGTACAGCCTAAGCGGAGGCTAGCCGTGGGGGTCGCGTGCGGGGAACTGCATGCAGTGGAGCATCATCCTGAAGGAAGCGGGAGACAACGGGCAGAGTCCGGGTCATGGAGGGCGTGTAGGGAGCCTGACTTGCCTTGCAGCCAAAGAGGAGTTTTAAGTAGGAGAGTGACTCACTGGCCCATCCGGTGGGGAGTGGAGTTGGGTTGGAAGGAACCGGGCAGGGGTAGGGGGCCCAGCGACCAGGCCAGTGATGCTCCAGGGGAGGGCTGGAGGCAGGCCAGCAGTGGTTGGTGTGAGGGGACACAGAGGGTTGTAAAATATCTCCACGGTAACATGCATATCATCTGCTGACTGACCATGTGCACCAGCGGAAGTAAGGAGCGGAGGGGCAGGTCTTGGGGCGGGGGGGCTGTGTAGAGTATAAAGTGTCTGTCTGATGGACACAGGAGGACGAATCCATGAGGCTAGAGCCAGGGACCTGTCAGGCCTAGGAGGCAGGTGTGGGAGGCGTCAGCTTGGAGGTGATGTTGAAAGTCTGGGAGTGGATGAGGTTGCCCAGAGAATGGACGTTCAGGGCGGAGGGAAGGGCTTAGGAGGGAACCCCAGAGACGGTCGCGGAGAGGGAGGAGCCTCTGAGGCCTTCGTGGAGTCACAGGAGCTGAGGGAAGAGAGAGCTTTGAAATAAAGGTAAGATGAACCAGAGCCCTGTGGTCTAGATGGGATCAGTAGCTACAGGTTTGCACGCGGTTCGTTCTGAATCTCCTGGCAGCCAAGACAGGAAGGGAAACAGTGAGTGACCCTGCTCCGGTGCCCTAGGAGCAGAGACGTCACCTTCTCAGAGATAAAAATGCATGGCATGGGTCTTTCTTTGAGGGAGATTTAACACATGGGAAGCATCTAAAGGACATGTCTTTCATGTGCTACTTTGACTTTGGGTGAGAATCAAGGTCTAATGTTAGGTGGTGGTTCTGGTTCTGCTTGGCCCCGAGTGGTGGGGTTTGCAGCTCCTGACAATCTGGCCCGACCCCCTGTGGAGCTCCACACACGCCCGTTTTCGGGGACGGGAACAGAAGAGCATATCTGAGGTCACGTCTCCGGGCATAACAGAGAGGCAGCATTCGGGGAGCCCCGAGGAGCATCCAGGCAAGCCTGTTTGTGCTGTGCCGACGGCCAGCCTCACGTGTGACGACAGCTTGACCCCTCCATGCATCACACCAGTGCCGCTTTCTTCTGACCAGTAACACCCACGCCCTGCGAAGGGTGCGTGTGCATGGCCTGGGTGGCCGTTCCTGCAGTGCTTCTCAGACATTTTGAACCACCTGTGAGGGCAGAGGAGAATGCATTTACCACCACCACCGCCCCCCCATGAAATCTGGGGATGTAACCCAAAGCCAGAAAGTCTCTGAAGTTTCATGATTTAGCTTTAAAAAAAAAAAGCATATTGCATTCTATTCCTGAAAAGGATACACATGCTTTAACATAAAAATGAATTTAATTGCTAATCAGAAAGTAAAACCAGTCCCGGAAAGGGGCACTGGGTATGCCTGCCGATTAGCGGACTCCCCGTGCGCTGCTGCCGTCTGCCCTGCACGTGGACTCGCCAGACACACGGGAGCTCCCATCCTCCGCACTCCCTGCCCCTCTCAGCCTCTTGCTGCAGTTCAGGTAGCTACTTGAAAAGCCCTGGCTTTGGAACACTGATGAATGTGGGTCCTGGATGGGGTGACACCTCTGACTTAAAACTTCCTGGCCCCTCGCACGGTCAGTGCTCTGGAAACTCGAAGCTTCCATGACCACGGTCCCGGTGGGTCCGTGGGCTGGGCCAGTGTGGAGCTGTCGGGCCAGCAGAGGGCGCTCAACCCTCAGGGTCAGAGCTTCCCGGATGGAGCCTGCCTGGAGTCACCTGTTCTCAGGACCGCGGGGGCGGGGCTTGGAGCCTGCATCCCTTGTGTGAAGGGATCCTCTTACCTTTCCTTGAGGGCTGTTCTCAGGAAAGCTCCAGAGCCAGGCTCTTGTGTTGACAACTGCAGGCTACAGTCCCCTGTCCCAGGTGACTCCCCAGTGTGTGGGGGGTGGGGGTGCTGGGGATCTAAATTCCACCCAGCCACCTGCCAGCATCTGAACCCCGCACAGGCTGGGGGTTCTGGGGAGAGTTCTAGTTGGCCAGGGTGCATGCTCTGACACCACCGTGCCCCAGGGTTCCCGGGTCTCGTCCATCAGCCACAGGCATTTCCAGCATTGGCCTGGGAGTAGGAGTGGGACTATCCTTGTTTGTATGCTCCGTGCTCCCTCAGAGTCTCGCACAAGGGGAGAGCACAGAGTCCAAGACAAGGGAGGATGCTAGGCGGCTGGTGGGGTGTGTGGCTGGGAGCTGAGAGCCCACCTTGGGTTACATCCGCAGCGATGCCTCGACCCTGCCACGCTTCAGGCTGCTCACGCCACGTGAGGCCCGGGCGGTGTGGGGCAGAGACCATGCTGGGGTGGCCTCACACAGAGTGGACTCAGCCGGAGACGGGGTGCTGTCTCAGGGTGACTCAGATGGCCTGAGACGCCCTTCCTGCCTGCTTCCCTGAGGTCCCAGGGTGCGGGGAGCGGGGGTGGGGTGGGGGGAGTCCTGGCTGACAGCAGCACCGAAAACAACCTTGCCATATGTGGTTCTTCTCCACATGAGCACTGTAAGGACCGTCCCCACCAGAAGGCTGATGCTCCTGCAGGGGAGAATGATCCAGAGATCCGTGCTGAGAAGAGGTGATTCCTGTTGTTGTAGGAAGATGACCTAACAGCTGGCCAGACCATGAGGTCCCCCCACTAATGTGCTGCAGGCCCGGAATGGAAGCAGGCATGGTCACCTGTGGGCCAGGCCGGGGTCCCTGTGTCACAGGTCTTTACCTGGACCTGTGACAGGGGAATCCACCATGATTATATCTCCCCTTTGGCTACTAAGACTTTCATAATTTAGCCTAGCACGGATTAGGGGGTGTTGGGAATGGAGCCCCAGGCAGGGGGATGGGTGGAGGGTCAGAGGGAACGAGGCATGCCCAAAGCACCTGTCTGTCCTGGGGCAGCTGTCCTGGGGACCGTCTCTCCAAACAGGCCGGCCTCTGCGCTGTCTGGGCAGGGTGAGGGGGAGAATATTCGGGAAGCCTCATGCTCCTCTCATTCCAGGTCTCCAAAAAGTACAGTGAGATCGAGGAGTTCTACCAGAAACTGAGCAGTCGTTACTCCACGTCCAGCCTTCCCCCGCTCCCCAAGAAGGTCCTGTTCGTTGGGGAGTCCGACATCCGGGAAAGAAGAGCCGTGTTCAATGAGATTCTGCGCTGTGTCTCGAAGGACGCCGAGTTGGCAGGAAGCCCAGAGCTGCTAGAATTCTTAGGTACCTGAGGCTCTGTCCCTAACCTCTGAGGCCTTTGTTGGCCCAGAACCAGGCCTCACTCCCCTGGCTGGGCCAGAGCGGGCCTACCGCTGCCGGCAGGAGGACGCTGCCTGCCTGGGTGCTGGACAGGGCTCACACGGGGCCTTCTCTGTGGTCTGACCCCACCCGTGCCCCTCCTGGCCACCCCCAGAGTGCCCCAACCCATACGCACCCGCCCCCCACGTTGCCTCCTGCCAGCCAGGCCTGCAGACCGGGCCCCCGGGGACAACCCCCCAGTGTCCAGGCCTGCACAGAGGCCCCAAGGCAGATGAAGTGCTTATGTGCCCCTGGGCGGGGAGGGGTCTCCTCGGGAGGTGCTGGGCTCTCCCCCCTGACTTTCTCCCTTCTTTGGACCACTCTGTTTAACTTTTCTTCCCAATGACTGCCGTCTCTAAGCGTCACAAGACAGATAGGAGTTTTTCAGAAGACAACAGCAAATAAACCAAAAAATTTTTTAAAGGGGTGAGGAAGAAAAAAAGCAAAGCCAGTGAATGCACAGAGGTGGGGGCAGAGCCCTGGCTACTTGTCTCCTTTTCCAGCCCCTCCCCTGCACCTGTGGGCCCCGAGTTGTTTGCTACGAGATCACAACCTGCTTGCCCCCCAGTGGGCTGTGTTGCCTGTGATATGGGGGCTCCCGCTGATCCATAACTGTGAGAAACTCCAGATCTCCTGGCCCCTCTGTTACAGAGAAGCAAGATACAGTGGTTTGACTCTCTTAGGCTTTCTGTGCCTCCGTTTCCTTATCTGTAAAGTAGAGGCATGAACAGGATCTCTCACGTGGATTTTTACAATAGTTCAATGAGTCCATACCTGTGAAATGCTTTTTACACAATGCCTGTTACACGGAATTGAAATTTTGAGTGGTATTTTCACATTTGTCCTAATAACAAAGCATAATATAAGGCAATGTATGATTACTGCCTAGATTTATATAACGCAGTAACACATATTACTTTGACGTATGTGTTAATATCTTGTTCCCAGGCATACTATAGGTCCCTTATCTAAGGGTGGTTGTTTTTTTTTTTTTTTTTTAATAGGAACTGCTTTCAGGGGCCCCTGGGTGGCTCAGTCGGTTAAGCGGCTGCCTTTGGCTCAGGTCATGATCCCAGGGTCCTGGGATCGAGCCCCGCATCGGGCTCCCTGCTCAGCGGGAGGCCTGCTTCTCCCTCTCCCACTCCCCCTACTTGTGTTCCCTCTCTCGCTGTCTCTCTCTGTCAAATAAATAAAATCTTAAAAAAAAAAAAAAAAAATAGGAACTGCTTTCAAAGATCTTCTACCCAGTAACTATCTGGATAGAGGTGAACAAGTAGTCTAAACCCACATTTCTCAGTCCATCTGTGGGGAAGGACTAGATTCGTATTCCCAATCTGTCACGGACAGATACTTTCACAAATACGAAATCACATGTCTAGATGTCGTGACAGTGCCAAGCTGCTATGGATGTTTCCAGATGCTTGCTCTCCCTTTCTGTGCTTACCGCATCATGGATATCCATCTGGGGGCCATGCTTTGAGAAGTGCTGATGTAAGCCACTTTGTATGGAGCCATTACAGTTCATTCTGGAATCTTCCATGAGCTCACTGTGCACCCATTGGGTTCATAGTCTAAGCGCCCAGACCCTTGGAGCCAGTCTTCATCCGTGGCTGGATTGCCAGAGCTCCCTGATATGCCCCACAGATGTAAGCTGGCCGGCTTTTTTGCCCTTAGCCAGTGGACGTAGGCTCGGCTCTTGCCCTGCTACCAGCTGGTTCCAAGCTCGCACCTATAACCACTCCACTCCAGGCTTCACTACAGGCTCGAGGCTTGGAACCCCGGCTGCCCCCTGTGCACCCAGACCCGGCACCCTGTCCCAGGACGCTGCGGGAGGCCCGCAGCTCAGGTCCCAGCACAGGAGCTTGGGTGCACGGCAGCGCTGCCTCGTCCCCTGGTTGTGGACGTCAGGGGCCCTCCTCCATCTCCTTCGACAGGCACCAGATCCCCAGGGGCTGCGGACCTCACCAGCAGAGATGTCTCTGTCCTGGATGCACACAGCCAGGCCCAGGATGATGGGGAGGCTTTTGACTTCTTCGAGCAACAGGACCGAGTGGAGGCTGAGGGTCTGCCCATCCCAGGCCAGAAGGGCGAGGATGCAAGAAACTCCTCCGAGGAGGAAGAGGAGGAGGCACTGGACCCTCTGGGCATCATGCGGTAGGTCTCCATGTCCTGGATAGGGCCTCCTTCTGGCCTGCTCCAGGCTCTCTGGTGAGGGCTCCTCTCTCCCTCCGTCCCTCCCTCCGTCCCGGGCATCTGAGAAAACCTGTTTCCCTGGGTCATCACTCCCTGTGGCCTGGTGTGCTCGGGCGGGGCTCAGATGTTACCTTCTCCTCCCTGGCCACAGAGCAGGCCCCTGGTCCCCAGTTCTGTACGGAGTCCTGGCAGGGCTGCCCACCCCCGACAGCTCAGCAGCCCAGGAGCCCTGGGCTCTCCACGCAGCTCATCACTGATGGCCTGGGGCTGGTGGCCCGTGATCGAAGCCCCCTAGGCCCCGTGTCACTGTTCTTAAAGCAGGGCTGTTGACCTGGGCCCTGCCTTCCGACAAGGCAGTTGTAAGGCCCATGAATCACATGAGTGGAAGGGACTGATAACCTGGAAGGTGCCCGCTGTGTGTGATGAAGAAGGTAGAGTGAGCCGCAGGCCCCCTGGCCACTCAGCTGAGTTCTCTTTACATGCACATACATGCACACAGGTGTGTGCACACAGGTACAGTGGGGAAGTAGAGGTAAGCCAGGTATGGTCTCAGCGGTCCCTCGGTGTCCTGGTGCTCTGCCGCCTTCCCCTTTCCTGATCCCCTGACTGCCTTCCCTAGTCAGTGCACTGCTCCCAAGCTCCCGCTGGACGACCACCCTGTGCTGGGGCAGCATGAGACCAGAGAGACATCTGCTCCCAAGGCCCGTCCAGTGGGCACAAGCTGAGGTGCTGGGGCGGGACCTCCCAGACAGACAGACTCAGCCACCCCATGGCCCTTACCACTTCTGGGCCCAAACGTGCAAGAACAGGCGGGAACCAGTGTTTCTGAGCACTTCCTACACGCTGAGCTTGGTACTCTGCACTTCATGTACTCGGTCTCCTTGACACCCTGCCTGCAAGGAGATGTTGTTATCCCATTCTACAGATTAAAGAAACTGAAGCCTGCAGAGGCCGAGTGCCCTGCCCGAGGTCAGGCAGCTGGTAAATAATAGTCCTGGGATTCCAGTCTAGCTCAGGGTCCTGGACACTGCTTGGCCTTGATCCTGGCTCTGCCATTTACCAGCAGTATGTCTCTGGCAATTTACCCCTTGTCTTCAGTTTTCTGCAGTGAATAGGGTCATGGTAGCATTGCTTTGTAGGGCTCTTGTGGAGACTGAGTTACAATGAATGCTAGCGCTCACTCTTCTCACGGCCGCAGCTTGCTGCCCCACCTCCTCCGCCGAATCAGATCGCAGACCTGGGGTGACAGTCCTTCTGCCCTGATGAGAGATCGAAGTGCAGTCAACAGACGAGAGAGGCCCGTCTCCAGAAATCAGGGAGGGGCAAGTTCAGTGTAAAGGACGTGAAAATCACAGTCCCGGAGCTCTGCCCACCATCCTCCAGCTTTCCTATCCTAGGGGAGTCGGGGGGCATGTGAGGCTGGGGACACGCAGGAGGAGGTATGGCTGCAGGGCTGCCCTATGACCAGCCTAGAGAGGACAAGGATTCACACTCAGGGAAGATCCGGCGCTGCAGGACACCCGGGCCCAGAGCCGCAAGTCGTGCAGCCCCTGATGCCCCGAGTCAGGTCCCCCGCCCTCCGCAGCCGCCCTGACCTGGACGGGGGGTGAGCAGCCCTGGGGGTGAGGCAGCGAGGTTGTGCGGGGAGACCTCTGTGGTAGCCTCTTCTTATCGGCCTTACACGGCCTGCAGGCCCTTCTTGGGCTTTATTTTGGTTGGGAGGAGGCTGTGTTTGAACTCAGGCTCTCTGTTGTTCTGAGTAACCACACGTAAAGCCAGACCGAGAAGGACTTCAGTGGTTTGCGCCAGCCTTTGGCTGAGGGTCATGCTTAGCAAAGCGGCTCCTTTTTTGGGTAGGAAAATGCTCTTTGGGGTTGGCAAGGGCCGCCTTGAATTTCCTACTTATTCCGGTAGCAGATTGTCGAGGGATGTGTCAGCCGTCTGGGACCACCTGCCCCCCAGCACTGTCGCCAGTCCCAGGAAAACATAGCACCTAAAAGGGACCCCAGAGGGGCGCCTGGGTGGCTCAGTCATTAAGCGTCTGCCTTCGGCTCAGGTCATGATCCCAGAGTTGTGGGATCGAGCCCTGCATCGGGCTCCCTGCTCAGTGGGAAGCCTGCTTCTCCCTCTCCCACTCCCCTGCTTGTGTTCCCTCTCTCGCTGTGTCTCTCTCTGTCAAATAAATAAATAAAATCTTTTAAAAAAATAAAAATAAAATAAAAGGGACCCCAGAGGCTTAAGACCTTCTGCTGGTTTCCCCTGTAAGGGCTGGTGTGACATTAGTCAGTACTGCTGCCCTCATCGGGGAGAATAACACCTAAGGTTTCTGAGAGCTTATTAAATGCCAGGGACCGATTCCCATTCCTGGGACGAGACATTTCTGTCTCTGCTTTTTTTTTTAAGAGGTCATGACACACCACATGGCTCTCGGGACCTGTGTGGGTTTGGTGTGGAAAATGGTGCTCTAGGAGCCGCAGTGGTATCAGGCTCATGGTGTGTGTGGGTGGGGGGTGTGTGGAAGCTGAAGTTTGGGGACAGGTCGCTCCTGCAAATTCATGCAGCCCCAAATGGCAGGTCACGACTCGGCGGCGTCACCCTGACTGCCCTTTGATTCCAGTCACTCTGCAGTGTGGGAGGTGGGCAGAGCCCTGGGATTATCCCCCTTTCACAGATGGGGACGTTGAGGACAGTTGAGCAGGGACTTGGTGGAGCCTTGCAGGTGGCAGCCCCCCCACCCGTGTCCTCTCCTGGGGCACCCAGATGGGCCTGTTGACTCTTTTTTTTTTTTTTAAGATTTTATTTATTTATTTGAGAGAGAGAATGAGAGAGAGAGAGAGCACATGAGAGGGGGGAGGGTCAGAGGAAGAAGCAGACTCCCTGCCGAGCAGGGAACCCGATGCGGGACTTGATCCAGGGACTCCAGGATCATGACCTGAGCCGAAGGCAGTCGCTCAACCAACTGAGCCGCCCAGGCGCCCTGGGCCTGTTGACTCTTGAACAGGCTGCCCACCCTGGCTGTTAGTGGGGAGTGGGGAGCATTGTGGTTTTCGCAGGAGACGTGGGCATTGCATGCATATTTCTCCGCCCCCCCCAGGGCCCTCAGTTGCCCTGCAGATGCGGCACCCCGCTGCCCCAGCTGAGCGCCCCGCCCCCGCCAGCAAGCGCCCATCTGGGCCTGGCTTTCTGGAGCGGACTCGGTTCCAGGGCGCGGGCGTCCGTCCGTCCTTCCTGCCGTGGGCCCGGCGGGGCGCTGTTGCCCTACCACAAGGCTGCTGGAAGGGGGGGCCGGCCAGCACAGAGCCCCGTGCTGGGACTGGCCTGGCTTTTCTTTGTCTCTTAAACCTGGTGTTGATTAGGGGCAAAGGCAAGTTGCTGCCCAGTGCAGAGCGCCCTGAGGCAGAAGGAGCCTTCGGCCGGCCCGTCCTGGCCCTGCTGCTCCCCTGTCCGCAGGATTGGGAGCAGCTCCGTGCTGGGGTGACCCACGGACTGCACGCAGAGCGCACATGCCTCTTGCGCTGGCTCTTCTCTCCGCGTCCTCCCTCGGTCCCCTCCTGTCCCGCGGAGTTTTCGGGTTTTGCTCTCTGTTTTCGAGACTTCGCACGTCTGAGAAAGATGAAGTTCTACCAGAATAGTTCTGCCTTCTGCCGGAAATACCCTGTTAGGAACATCTTTAATCGTAACTTGAATAATACACGATTGGTAACAGAAAATCTGAAAACACAGTGAAAAGGCCTTTCGCCCTGAAGGAATACGCTCTGGATGTACGTTTCTCGTAACCCCAAATGGGGCTGCGTGGTGTGCGCCATTCCATAATTTGCTTATTTTCAGCTTATATACTGGGTCTTTCCAGATCAGTAAGTAGACTTCTACGTTCTTAACTTCGTGCTAGTCCACAGGGTCGATGCGTTCTAAGTGGCATTGTCAGGCGCCTGCCTGGGGGCATTCAGGTGTTTTCTGAAGGTTTTTGCTATTACAGGCAGTGAGGAACTTTATTGTGTTTGGAGCTTTTCTCCCCAGATAACTGCCCTAGAGCCAGTTCCTGGAAGCTTTGGCCTGGGGGCCTTGGTTGTGCCCCTCCAGTGAAGGATTCTTTAGGGACTTAATCCCTCTCTTTTGGGAAGGCCTCTCTGCTTTTGCAAACCCTGCGTACTTGCGAGACCGCTGCCTCCCACCCCTTCCTCTGGTGCCCAGGGAGCACCCCCCCCCAATCCAACCCCCAGTCCGGGAGGATCCTCAGCACCCCGAGGGACAGGCTAGTTCCTACATGGACATGCCTTCCCTCGAGGCTGGACTTCCCGCTCTCTGCTCACAGAAGGGGGGCCACCACCCAGTGTCCTGTGCATGGCCTCCAGCGGGGAAGCTGGACCTTTTTTTGGAGTGTGAATCATGTATTTTGTCACAATTGTTTATAAAAATGTTGCTTTATCTTCACAAAAGAATCATACGCATTTTAGTATAAAAATGTCTTACTGCCTACGTTTAGATAAAATCACTGCTCTGGGATGACCCTGTGGTTTTGAAGACCTCCCGGCACACTGCCAGGTACCCCCAGACTTGCTCCTGTTGGAGATTTATTGATTTCTGCCCCAGCTTTATTGAGAACTAATCAGCATATAGCACTGTGTGAGTTTAAGGTGTACGGTGTGACTTAATACGCGTATATGTTGCGAAGCAGTGACCCCAATAAGGTTAGTTGCCAAGTCCATCAGTCGCCACACAGAACTACTATTTCTGAGATTTGGAAGCAAGATGTCCCCCAGGTGGGCCACGGCGGGGTGTGCAGGTGGTCTCAGCCGCACCTGGGGAGATGCACAGCCGCGGCTTCTCGGCCGCCTCGCTCGCGGGCTTGGACGCCTTTGGTGTTCTGGCCCCCGCCGAGGGTAGCAGGCCCGCTGGGAACCCTGCAGCACCCTGGAGTGCATGAGAGGCCCCCTTGGACTGGGGCTCCCGGGAGTTCTTTA